TGTACGTTTTTAGAACAAAACTAAATCATCGTTATAGCTATTCAATCCGCACACAGGGGGTTATTAACATTGTCCCATCGAGAAGCTACATGCAGAGATTTTAGAATATTCTTCCAAAATATGATTGGATGGCATATCTTCGGCTCTTTCTGAGCTTCTTACAGCTTCCTCAAGTTCACCCATGGACCATACTCACATTAACATACCGAGTGTGCGACTTCATGGATTTGAGTGTCCATTTTTGATGAAGCTTAATAGAAGTTATTTGATTTCAGTTATTCAGATGAATATTTTTCTTAGTTAGTTTGTTACAAAAATGTCTTTCTTGATTTAAAAACGTTATACACGACGAGAATTTATAAATTTCATCCATGACTAAATTGTTCATTTCGATCAATGATATTTCGAAAAATTCACTTGTTTTAATAAAGTTTTCTTACTTAATTACACCTCGTGTTGTAAGATAGGACGCCCACCAACATTCATTATCTAACTCTGTCCTGGACAAATCGTTCCAGTTCTTTTCAGTTGTTATTCCTTCTTCTCATCTCTACCGACAATTCCAGAAAATTTCTGTTCCCTCATCCTCCTCCTCTTCTTCGTTTCCACTCAGCTCCCAAGTTATCAATTGCTTCGTCATACAGTTCGACAGTTTCCTCAATGCATGTTCCATACACATACACCATCTTTTCATGATTTCCTCTTCATCTGGACATTGGTTTGCTTCCCACAACATGTTGTTGTTGATGCAATGCAGTCAACGGATCACGAGCATCTTGTATAGACAACTGTTCACAAACACTTGCATGTTCATGATGATGGTTGTAGTGGTTCTGGAAGTTTCAGCTCAGTATGATAGAACTGTCTCGACATTCGTATTGGAAATTCTCATTTTCATGTTGTCTGACAGTTGTTCTAAGTACCATATGTTCTTCAATTGTGGAAATGCTGCTCTCGCCTCATGAATCCTTGCCTTCAAATCTGCATCAGATCATCCTGGTTTATGAATGATGATGACGAGACACGTGAGAGTATCCACCACCTCCCCCTCCAGATCTTCTCCATCAAGTGTGTACAGTGTTTCAGGATGTTGGTTCTTCCCTCGTGTTCGTTGAAGCTTACTATTGGAGAGGCTGGTGCCACTACGCTGGATGTTTTCACCTTCATTTGTATGTATGTATGTATGTATGTATGTATGTATGTATGTATGTATGTATGTATGTATGTATGTATGTATGTATGTATGTATGGGATAGAAGGGCTTGAGGATCTGTGAAGTTCAAATGATCTAGTTGCATGCAAGCTGTCCATTGTACTCCATGCTTCCTCTGAATTGTGGATGTCTTCATAAGCCAGAACGACAGATAATAAATGGGAGATTAAGGAGCCTCGTCTGACATCTCTCTTCACCTGATATGCATCTATCATTTGTCCGCCATGCACTACTTTTCAGTGTAGTCCGTGGTATCAATTCCGTGTATTGTTGACAATCCATTCAGCCACCCACTGTAATGTGTCAAAGAAGGTTTCATAATGTTTTCCCATCCACATTGTCAAACGCCTTCTCATGGTCAAGGAATCTGGTGTGTAGCGACGAGTTCCGTTCAACTGATTATTCAACGATAACCTGTAGTGTCATCATTTAGTCGGTTTAAGACTAATCCTTACGGAGTCTAGTTTGTTGATTCCGAATCAGATCATTTATTGAAGGTTTCATTCGGTTCCAAGATACCGTTTTTAAGATCTTCTGGTAGTGATAGTAGTGTGATATCTCTGTAGTTCTCACATTTGCTCAGATCTCCTTTCTTTATTATCCTTCTTTCCAGTATATTGGGGGCACTTGTTCTTCCTCACAAATCTTACTGAGTAGAACGTGGGGCATCTTTGCGGTTACTTCTCTGTCTGGTATCAGTGCCTCGTCTTGTATGTTGTCCGGTCGTGCTGCTGCTTTCCCATAATTGGTTTGTCTTATTGACGTGCTGATGGGTTAACATCTTATAATGGGTCTCTATGTTTACTGCTTCAATATTATTATTATTATTATTATTATCAGCTTTATTCAATATTATATTTTTGGTACAATATAGAATTCTCAGCGTAAAGTGTTTCAACAAGTTTCCGTTTCTTTCTTCTTGGTCGGTCCTGGAGATAAATATTGAGTGATCGCCAGTTAGATGTTAGCAGTTCACGAAATGAACATCTGAATAATATGCATTCTTTTGGTTGTATATTGCCAGCAACCACATTGTCTCTTATTGAGTTGTTTGTAACTATCTACATGTCCCGATCTGTTTGAGTCTCAGTCAGTGGCTTGTCTTCTTTGTCCTTGACTGATATCTCTGGTTAATTATATTTTTCTGTTAGTTTCTTCCTTGTGCCATTCAGATGACCGATATTTCCTCCTCTTGTACCTTGTCCTAGCGTTGTCGCTAGGTCATCCACGCATTCCAGCTTTTCAGTTTTAATGTTCCTCATCAATCACATCTTCTCCAAGTAGTTCTCGTATGACTTCGAATCTATTGCTGAGAGCTATCTTGAGTTCCTTGAACTCCCTATTATCTCGATGAAATGGTATATTGAATTTTTGTTGTACCGTTTCTCCAGTATTCCAACTCTTCTATAGTTTCAGTTTCATCTTGGGCACAATCAGGTAATGATCGACTCCTCTCTCCGTTCTCACATCCTTCATGAACCTCCTGAACTCTTTATTGATGCACATGTGATAGATTTCGTATGTTCTAGTATGGTCAGGTGGGACCCATGCAGACTTGTGTATGTATTTTTGGGGAAACATGGTGTCATTTATAACCATTTTCAGTGGAAATCTCCCGCTATTTTCGTTCCCTTCTTCCAGTTCGTGTGGTCTTACGATATCTTTATATCCGGCGTTGTCAATTTCGACCTTGGTATTTAGGTCTTTCATCACAATTATCGAGCTCTTTCCTGAACGCCGCCCTACGGCCGACCGCAGCCTCTCACAAACGTATCTTTATCTTCTCTACTGCTATGATTGAGGCGCGCATAGAACCGGATAAAACTTCAGTCGTTCTTCGTTTTGAAGAATACCTTGATGATCCTGGGTCCATGAGATTCCCATCCTACAGGTGCTTTCCACGCTTTTTGGCCAGCATCAGTGCAACTCCTCGTGTATGTGAAGCATTCTCCTTTTCGTAACCAGAGCACAGCAGCATCTCTCCAGAAGTTAATTTTCTCTGTGCAAATTTCATCCGATGCGTTTCACTAATTTCAGGCACCACTAGGTAACATCTTCCCATATTTGAAGCCACTTGAATGGTCCTTCAAGTTTTATGCAATGCGCGGACATACACTTATGTTAAATGCTGCCCTGGTTGTTGGGAAGAACATAGGCCTCGTGGGAAAAACTGAAAATCTGGGCTTTCATCATGAGGCATCATAACTCTCATGAATGAAGACACTCTGAATTCCGGGGTGAGTTAAGTGATTGAAATAAGTTTTTGCCAGTGTATTTTTGGAAACACTGTTTCCTACATGGTGGAGTTGATAAACTCATGATGTACCCCCTCCTTACCTACGCATGCAGTAGCTGTAGTAGAGCTTCAGGTGGAGTTATGATTTAGCTACCTGCTGAGAAGTTCTGTATACCACAGATGTTTTGTTTGAATTCGTCTGACATGTTTTCTGAGTTGTTTTGATCAAGAGGCAGGAAATATCAGGACTGCGTTCACTTTTTAGAGGACTATACGCCGAAACTCGATTACTTCCTTGTGTACAGTAAGATATAATATTAAGGTCCAACTTCTTATGCTGTACTATATATGGTAATCCTCAGCATTTCATTTTGACGGGTAGCTGCATTTTACACTTTTCCAGGATATCCAACTCATCCTTTTAAACAATTGTTTGCATCCTGAATTCAGTTTTCCGTCTTGGATTGTGCATACCATGGTGAACATGTGTAGCGTGGCGTCGAGTTGGGATTGACTATGAACACCGCTACAAAGGATCGCGTGCCAAATATATCAGAAGGCGAAGGTTGAACATAACCAAATAAATTCATAAAATCCCCGAGAGGCCAAATATCAGAAGGCAATTAATAGACCAAATCGAGATATATTCACTGGCGATCTCGTGGTATCGAAAGGATACCGAGATCGTGCCAGGATACAAGCTTGGTTACAGAAAGTAACCGAATTCGCGCGAAGTCACAATTAAAGTGTATGTATAAGAATGGAAGCACAATATAGCTGTCATTGGCACAGTCAAACAAAAGCACATTAAAACAAACACTGGTACAGTTGGTTATAATAATAATTGTTTTTATTAAACCAGTCGTGTTCTCGTGATAAATGTGAGTCACTACACATGTATTTGTCCAATTGTATAGATACACCTCTTAATATCTATAATGTTCTGAGAGAGACAGAGAAACGAAGAGGAACAACAGGCATGAGAAGACAAATATTTCAACTCATCATAGCTCAAAACAGATAATGAGTAATGTGGAAAAGGGACCGGCATTTGACAAAATAATGAGTGACAGACAAACATGAGTACACACAAAGCTCATGAACGTACGTATATACAAGAATACAAAAATAAGACATGTATGTGTTGAAGGTAAGAATTTCCTAGGAGAATAGGGCTATTATGAAGATAAAGATGATCCAATATAACATGCTGTTTGAGATGTTAAGTTCTGTTCAAAATCCAGGATCAATCAGACACTACAAGTATGTTGTCTTTGTTGAGGTCCACACTGAGTAGCAAATACAGTAAAATTACTCCTGAAGCTAGTTCTTCGTCAAGAGGGGGTTCGTAAGTAAAAATTCGTCCGTAAACAGTTCGCCTTAGGTTCTGGTTTGTCCTAGTCTCTCTCTTTGACTCACAGTAGACATCCCCACCAGTACCTAATCCACAGGTGAGTTCTTATTCTGTTACTCTTTCTGAGACTCATGGATTGTACTTATAATTCAATTTTCAATGACGTGTAACTCTACCGCATTTGTTGCATCAACAGTGATGGGAACGTTCCAACAAATTTTGTCTCAAAAATCGTATAATCTGATTTTTCCAGGTGTAACTTGACTCTTTATTGAATAAGTAAGACTGAATCGCCATGCGAAATGAGCATTTCGGGACAGCTTTTTAGCATAGAGATTTTTAACCACAACTACTTTATTTGTTTAAATCCATCACGCTAATATGACAAGTGACTTGACTGCTAGATTTTATTTTCTGATACATTATGAGATTGCGATCGTCCATTCGCAGAGCGAGTAAGGTAATTAATCTAGTTTTTATCATAAATAAGGTAAATAGTCGTACCATATGATAGCCTCAATAAGCCGGTATTAGGTAGGGCATTGGATAGTATATTGTGCATATAAATACGCGATTATTTCTATGTGCCTATCTTATCTCCCAGCTTTAGGGAAATTTGAGGGTTTTCCCTAAATATTGGATAATTAGCGTTTGCTTTTATTGTAACCTTTCACACTTCTGAAGGTAGATTATTTTAGGAAGCACATTGTAATTAACTACAACAGTTGCCATAGAAAGGTTAACGGATGTTACTTTTGTTGTTTAATCCTATCTAGAGCAAAATACCCAAGAATGTTACAAGTGCATCATATGTATTCATACCTAAGGTTTTTTGAAACAATACCCAGTCAGTGCTTTCTTAGTTGAAGCAATGGACTCAACTGTGAAATTACAGGTTTGAATCTGAACTCGGTTTTGATATCTCAGTAGAATAACTGGTAAATTTCGTCACAGGCCGAATTTTGATATGGTATGATCACTTGTTGGTTTCCAAAATATCGAGTTCAATATTGGTTGATTGGTACTAAATGATACAATGTTACTGATTGAAAACTTCCTAGGCATGGGTCTACTTGCTTGTCATACCCATTGTCTTTGACAAAAAAGACAAGACTGAAAAAACTGCTCATAATCACGACCATTTTTCAGTGAGATAGTAGTATATAACAATATGACAAACCTTCAGTGTGGAGTTTTGGCATATTAGGTCACTGACCATCCAATGGTTTCACGGTTTCAGACATTAGATATTTTCCTGTCTGTTATCTTAATTACGCGTAATATCTGTGCAAACTGAGTTAACTAGTGCTCACAATTTTGCTTTTTTGTAGACTTTTAAATGTGTACAGAAAGGTAACGACGTCAAATCGAAACCTTATGTTACCAGTGTTAATGTTTCTGGAAAGATCAAACATAACATCTGTGAACCTAGCCCAACAATTCCTAAAACTCCTCCATTGATCTGTAAAGATGTATCGAGAAGTAGACGGATTAATAAAGGAAAGCAAACTCCGATTATTCCAGAAGACCCCTATCTTTTTATAGACAATGATAGTGATGATAACAAGGAGAACGTTATTCCTGACAGTTCAAAAGATGTAACCAGAAAGCACACTAGAAAAACGCACTCAAATGTTAAGGTAAAGGTGGCCAACCCCAAACAATCAAAGTCAAAGCAGTGGCCTGCATCAACAGCATTCACAAAACAATATATCCCTTCAGGAAAATCTAATGACGCTAGATACGAAGGCGCTCTACATGCAAACACACCTGAATCGATCGTGACAGCTGTTCCACTTGTATCAAATACAGTAAATCCTATGTCTGCTCCAATTTTCCCTGAATCTAACCAGCTAATTAGTCCAGGGAGTTTGACAACCTCTTGTTCAGTCACAAAAGAGGCTTCTCCTTATGCTGAAAGTAAAACGGTTCCTCTCAATTTTCATGAAAAGGTTTGTGATTCCTGTCAGGCTACTAGTAGCGTCTCAAACACTCCTGAATGTAGGAAATGTATTTCTATACATAATCTAGAAGAATCTATCCCAAGATATTCCAAAACAACACTGACTTCTTTAAATCCGCAAATTGCCTCAACTCCAGCAATGTCGAATGCTAACACCGAGTTACAGACTATGGGATGTCATCCACTTATTCCAACTCCGATAAATTATACCTCAATTAAAAGAAACGAAAATAGTCACGATGATTCCAGTCAAGTTTTGGAAAGCTATTTACCAAATAACTCATCTTCCTCTTCTAATCCACACTCCGGTACGACAAATAACAAAAGCTCCTCTCAAGGTTAGGTTGTAGTTATTGGTTTTTACTATACTATTTTGAATGCCTTGGAACCTGTATATGATTAGACCACTTTGGTTCATACTTACAAATTGTAGAGTCTAAGCTGTGCAATATTTTCGGTTCAGTCTCTACGCAAGTTTTTATTTGGTCACTTTTAAATTCAATTGATTTACTCAGGTGTGTTGTTATAGTTTTGAAACTGCCAGTGATAAATCCAAGTGCTTGTTAATTTATGTTTGCCGATCAATCGTCGAATCACAGTAGGTGGAATTTGTTTAACGCCGTCATGCCTCTCGATATTTTTAATACATTGGAAAATTGTGGGATCGATAAAATCGGTATTGAACATTTCAAATAAGTTTTGTAGTCGATCATTTAAGCTCTTTTGCCATTATATGAAGTAAATCAACGTACTTATTCCAAAAATCTTAATTATTCCTAGGTTATTTGGTGCTCCAAATGAGTGTTCTAGGTATTGCATAAACCACATGATATGAAGTTAACTTTAGCTGGTTTTTTAATTTTTCACTTCCAGATTTGAGCAAAGAATCTACTTCTAGCAGCAATCGGAGACGTAAACAAGCGTCTGAGAGTGAAAGACAGGTTCGTAGATTCTTTATGCTATTCCGTTTTGTACTACTGTATGATTAGTCATAAAATTGATTGCACGAACACGTAGATCTAAGCTATTCAGTAGAGCGGTAGCTCTGTAGTAAGGGCTTTCTTCATTGTCATTAAGTCACAAATTGGTACCTTACGCAATCTTAACACGGACTCAGGAAGCTCAGTCAATCTTTTTTAAACTTATGTCATTTTCGACGTAGGCGAGATATTCATCTAACTCAAAATGAAAGAAAACTGGGAGCGAACAAACCAAGATATTGCGTCAGTCGGTGCTGAACAAAGTCATGATAGGTGCATACCACTTGCTTTGAGTCCGCTCTGGTAAGCCTCCAAATGCCCTGGTACGGCCGAGGGTGAGGAGAGTCAGCTCTCCCTCTCGAAATGCTCTTGTGGTGAGAGCTACTTATATCCACATACGTAATATATAACGATGGTCAGACATAGTATGTATTTCAGTGGAAGATCGAGAGGGAAAGAACGGAAATGGAAAGCCATTGGTTCTCAAATTTTAGTCAAACATTCTGTAATTTTGTGTTCAAATACATTTGGTTGTCCTCACCTGTGTTCTCTTTCACTACAGCCACTGTCAGGTAAGTCCTACTCACTGCCTTCTCGTGGAGGGTTGTTGCTTACGAAATTGAGAGGACGAAAACTGAATGTCCGGCACTTTACCCGGGTCGGTGGATATGGAGGGTCCACCTACGGGAGTTGGGAAACCTTGGTTCTAAACCAATGATGCAAATGGGCTCCTGGATCCTGAGGGAACAAATGGCATACGGACCAATTAATGGTCACCGGCTACTATGGGACGTCATCTCCTGACGTTGCTCTACTGCCTTGTGGATCATACCTTTAGGTCGAAGGCTTCGGGTGTGGCCCCTAGGAAAACCATCTGCTTCGGCTTTGTCATCCGAGCAGTATTACGGCCCACACAAATCACGTGACTTGTGGTGCATATGTATTCGGTGCCCCTTTTTACCAATATTTATGTGTTTAAATAAATAAATACAACCATAGTGACGAGAGATAATGTGTGGAAAGGCTTATACTTGGTCACAGTATTTCAGATGCATTCGCCCTTTATCCAGTTTTCTTCCATATTGTTAGGGATGTTTAATCCCCAAGCACAGCTTATGGGAAAGTCAATATCGATTTAGGGTGAGTTTAAGGTGAATCTAGGGTCAACTTTCAGTAGATTATTACTATGATTTGTGTATGGTGACAAATGCTCAATTTATAAATTATTATCGTCTTATAACCGACTAAATTAAATGTATTTTAATTCTAGTACGGTAACCATCCACAAAACTTTTACTCTAGTTAATAGGACAAGGAATAAAAGGATAGTAATGGTCTCGTCTACTGTTTTGAAGTTAAATTTGTGTACCAATAGCTTAGCGCGCAAATACATTATATGTATAATTTTCCATTCCTTCCCGGATAATCTCAGTGTTTAGCCTTTCTCACTGTCCTTACTAATACAATTATGATGACTTGGGTTAACTTACATTTATGCCGGGCTCTATGTTGAGTATGTCTGACTGCCTTATGCGCCGGAAATTGGAAACAGCCAATTAACTTTGATTACTCAGTTGTAGTAAAAAGCTTTATTTTCATGATCCTAATTTTTCGTTTTCTTTGTTATTTTTTCCTACATGCAATAGAAAGCGTATGATTCATGGCTAGCTGAATTTAACAATGAACTACAGAAGTATGAATCATTTGAATTAAGTGTGGAAAATCAGGCCCTATCAACAGATGATCATTAAATTGTCAAGCTACACATCCTCCATAAATTTCAGTATCCTTTATTTTCTATTTATTATTTATACCATTTAAGATCTTAATATTTCATATTTATTTAATTTAAACCCGTACATATTTACATAATACAAATATATCTATATATTCCCATTTTTAATTCCAGCGGCTAATAAATTCCATTCGGTAATATACTCCGCTTGTTACCGATCCTAAACAGCTGTGATTCACTCATCTAGCTCAGGTTCGCGTATTCAGCTTTGTGCTGCACTTTGTGTATGAGGGCTTACAACACAATTTCGGGACTTGGACTTTGACTAGTTGTTGAAGGTCTAGCCAGTAACCCACTTCTTTATGGCCACCATTTTGGCTGTACAGTCATGCTCCTTTATCAGTAAGATCAACGCTAATCTTATATCTTTCATGATATTTAGAGCTGAAAAGCGTATCTCGTAGTAAGATTCAGGTTCACCTTATCTTCCAAGAATCTTTCTTCTCACATCTTGGGTTTTATAGTATTTCCGTTGTTAACGATTAATCCTAGCTTCAATTTACTTTTAAGTGTCTAACCGTCGGGGATAATTTTGACCTACATGATGACATATATGGTATCTTAAAACCGCTTTTTGCCACGTGTCTTGTTTTTCAATGTTGTCAAAACATTTTGTCTCAATAACTGCAACACTAGGTCCTACCACATCAGAGAGGTCACTGATTAAGGGATGGTAAAACTAAAAGCAAATTGATGTTCAAGGGCGAAGTCGTAATGTCAGTTGTACGACACTGTGATGACAGTACAAAGTATTTTCCTTAGATAATCAGCATTTAGATCGATGCTATCTTCTCAACAGAAAGAAAGGATTAGGAAAGGTTCTTTGAGAATGCTACATCTCACCTTACCTCACAGATCCCTGCCTCAGTAATGCCTTTTTTCTATTGGTCTCAAGTAGTTGTCACTTAGGCTATTCAGTCGTGCTTTCAGGCCACTAAGACAACTAGTAAACCAGTTGGGTTCCCGTGCCCCTGAAAAAGAAACATTCTTTTTCAGTGTGTGGGATCGATTAGTGACAACCGTTATTATATCTAATAGCACTTGAGATCTTGTTCCAGGACATTTATGGGTCTTGGAGTTGGCAAACGGAGAAAGACTGACAGAAATCTGTCTTCTGATTGTGTGACATAATTAGTAGTTTACTGTGAAAACAATATCAGGTGAGTACATTGTCACTTCACCCAAACCAAACTGACATTCTGAATATCGGTTTTTATGCCCGTCTCTCCTCTACAGGGAATAATTTTGGGTACGTCTTGATAATATACATTCTAATGGGGTTGTTAAAATGATGGATAGGACTCTGGTAATTAAATGTTATGGGTTAGTGCGATGTTATTCAGTAATCATTTTCTCACAAAACGCATTTATTGATCTAAACTTCTTGTTGAAGGAATAGGAAATGACGACAGACTAACAAAATAGTCATTTTATTTGATAAATTAACGTTCTTGTATACAAAGTACTTGATGCAGAAGTATGATTATATTCTGGAGTTTTGTAGGTCATTTATTCACTAATAAAATTTAAACCTGAGTAGTAGGGTTAAATCTTATCAGTTGTCGATAACTTTTGTACGGAAGTCGAGTGTCTAGGAACTCATCTTTAAAACACTTTTCATAATGAGTATTTTTAACGAAGGGAATCTAAATAATTATAGTGTTCGTGGCTGACACTTTAGTCAAGAAAAAGTTAATGAAGCAGCTACAGAAGTGTCTTATTTTAATATGTTAAGTATATACACAAGATTACTGCTCAGTAGAATGAAGCCTGACGAAATCCTAATTAGATGCAATATTGCTCGCCTATAGGCACTATTCTAATTTACACTACGAATAAAATTTAACTCATATATGAAAACCCCATACTTTCCATTTTGAAAGAATGAGAAACTAATTTAGGTTGATATTTACAATCCATGTTTAGTCAGGTTGATACGGAAAATCCACAGTTTAAGTTTGATGGCATACGTGACTAATGATTTTAGCCTTTTCATCACTATTTCTCTGACCAAGTATCGTGTTAATCCCTTATGTACTTGTTTATTACTGAAGTTTAAAATGTATGTGGATATGAAATTTATCTTTAAACCTCTCACCATTCACTGTACTCTTTTCCAGCAATCAAAAGCGGCATTTTAGCCAGCCAATGAAATGCCCATTTCTAGACCTGTGAAAGTAGTGGATTTAGTTCGGCAATAGCAGTTCTAGTCAGCGTTGTTGTCGGCCTTGTATGTTTCTCCTGGTGAGGCTGATTCGATTTTCAGAGAGATGTTCGCTGGTGTAAGATTTTCGAAGCGGAACTCCTGAAACCTTATTTCATACTAAGTGACTTATCGAAATCCAGATGATTTTTACGTAAAGTATGTATGCAAAAGGAAAGATAGCACTCAACGACCAACAATTCAAGCGACGCGGGGTTTCGTTTCGAAGTAATTTCTCTATCCGTAGGTATTGTCATGAATCCTATATATTTGTTCGGCTGATGGAAGGCTTCTCTACAATATCAAGATCGTCAGTTTGTCACAGTCATGAGTTTCTGCTCATAACTTGTAAGAAAGACCCTAGCGTTTGCTGTTTAATAGCCGAGTAGAAAAATGTACAACCTCACTAGCAAATGTCATGTTTGGTTGTGCTACTGGTCGCACGCTAGATCGCATGGATTAAGGAAAGGCGTGTCTAGAGAAGTTGTGCCCTACATCAGTCCAGAATTATTAGAAATAATAAGCCATATCAATTCAAAAGCATATCAGTTACTGAAATGCGTACGGAAGTTCGCCAGATAATAAGATGATCATAAAATATGTTTAGTCATAGGTCATATGGGGAGGTGCACTGTAGATATACATGTTATGGAATGCAACTACTCTTTTAGATGCGAAATACAGTTACTACATCAACATCATACTAACTACGTTTTTCAGTCCAATGAACTGATCAGCCGAATTAGTTTTTGCGAAGGGCGATAGCTTTTGTCCATTGGGTATCCTGGTTTATTACTAAAACAAATACAAAACATGGTAGTCCAACGGCAGCCAACTAGAAATGATGTGATGAAACAAATAAATGTTAGTAAATCGTCAAAAATTACATCTTGTCTGGTCCCGTCACTGCACCCGCTGGTCCAGGTCCATTTTCGGAGCGATAAAAGTAGTTGCCAAAGACATAGAGTTCATCGTTTGTGTGTGGGCTGTGATACTGCCCGGGTGCCCAAATCGAAGCAGGTGGTTTTCTTAGGGAGCCACTCCCCGAGCCTTTGACCTAAAGGTCTAACCCACAAGGCAGTGGAGCATCGTGAGGAGATGCATTCCCATGATAGCCGGTGACCAACGATTGGTTCATACGCCATTTGTTCCCGCAGGATACTGGAGCCCATGTGCACCATTGGTTTGGAATCCGGTTGAAGCGCCGGACATTCGCTTTTCGTCCTCTCATTTTCGTAAACAACACCCCCGCCACGAGAAGGCAATGAGTAGGACTTCCCTGGCAGAGGCTGTATACGCGCGGCCGTGTGAGAGTATTTCGAGAGGGAGAGCGGACTCACCCCACTCTCGGCCGTACCAGGGCATTCGGGGGCGGAGAGGTGGTCAGTGCATGACATGGTGTCATGGCATGAAAGAAAGCTGCAAAGGACTGGCTTGTGTTGGTCCTTCACGACTCCCTGGTTGGGGTCTGAGAGATGGTGCCACACAGTGGCTAGAGACGTTATCAGATATGGCTCAGAATAGAAGCCAGTGGCGATCCTGCTGTAACCTTCTTTTACCTTCTTCATAAAAAGTGGTTGTGTCTCCCTTACCTGAAAGATTTCTTCCGATTGTACCTTTGCGTTCCCTGATTACTAGCACATTACCTTACACCAATCTCTTCGTTATTGTCCTCTCTTTTTTTTGTTGCGCTCCTTAGCTTTTTTTTTCTTTCTTTGTATTCCTCTCGAATTTTCATTGTTTTGTGTGGCGCATATATATTGGCGCTCTCCTGTACCAATATTCATGTGTCCAAATAAAAATAATAAATCCAGGTCCATTGAATTTTATTTACATTTCGTATTTAATACAGCTGACTGTTCGTATAACGCTCCTAGCGAAACATCCGTTTCTGTAAACCAAGAAATCAACGCTAGGAATGATGCTTTCGAAATGTAGATCTGGACGCTAGTATGTCCAGTTATGAAAGTGAAGACGGTGCTGAAGCGAACGTGGATATGCAATTGAGTAATGAGATCCTTGAACTTAGTGAAGAATACGATAATGACAGTTTTGATATTTACGCTAGGTGTTATTTTTATTCCAACCCCAAAACATCGAAAGCGGTGCTGGTGAATAGGTTAGATGTTCAAGATATAGCACATTCAGTCATCTCGTCTGTTCTATAAGAATGGCTGAGAGTGACCTGTGTGTGGAGTGTTACAGTTATAATTCGCACCCATGAGTGCTGTAAGTGGATACCACACTTAACAGCCATATTCATTGTAGATATCAATAAGCACTCAATGAGAAGGCAACATGGTCCTTTGTAAGGTCTCCTCAACAAACTGATCTAATAATCCAGCCTGACTTTTTCACTCAACGTATTAACAGTAGTCTGGTCGTTCGATAAAAATAGCTATCCTTCTATTGCATAGAAAAAATCTATAACTACCTAATAATTGGTATGAATTTCTCTATTAATGACGTTTGGAAAATGTATCGTTTTATTTGTGATCAGGAAGTTTCCAAGAGAGACTATTTAGGACTAAACAGTTGACCCAAATCAGACAGTAAATATGAATTATTCTACGTCTCAGACAAATACAGTGGTATACATTCTTTGTTTGATATGGCTTTTATATTTTCACTGTATGTACGCATTACATGATCACGTTACATTGCAAGGTCAAATGATTCATTCGACACTAACGAAATGAGAATTGTATATTAAATTTGTGATGAAGTTAATAACACCTTACGGGTGAATATTATATTTCATTATACAGTACACATGGCGGAATTATGATTGAACAGTCTAAAAGAATGCTATTGTCCGAAAGAACAACTTCACTGAGACATCGACATTCTTTTTATTATCTCATTGAAATCATGAACCGATCAATATTAG